AATGGATTGGAAGCCGGGTCCGATGAGATCCGATTCGCGGAACTCTTTGATCATGGCGTTACGTCGTAGTGCCTGGGCCGGACTGATGTGCACGTTGGCGGCGGCAGCGGCGCGTCGCGTCTCCACAATAACCGATTCCGAGGATGAGGCCGAGAACGAGGAGGAGGACGAGGATGGGGACGAGGATGAGGACGAGGACGAGGACGAGGACACGGACGCGTTAGCAGACGCGGCTGATAGCGATTGGGTCTTGAAATCGAAGCGTACCATATAGCGAGTGTCGGCATTCAGTTGGGCATCGCCTGGCGTCAAAATGGTGGGCGGCGGCATCGGATCGGACGAGGCGGACATTGACGTGGGCGTCTTAACGTCCTGTATAACGCCCGAGTACCAGAGGCCGTCGGGGCCAGGTGCGCACACCTTGGTGCCAATGATTGAGCGTTTGGCCAAGCGGCGGCTGGTAGACATTTTGCTAAGCTTCACTCACGGGGTTTACTTTCTGGAAGAGTGGGGAGTTCGGGTGGGGGCCTACCAAGGGCTTAGCAGGCTTTTCTTTCTTTACAGTTTTTTGTCACACTTTTGTCTACGATTTTCCGTTTTATCTTTTGCTGTTTGTTTGGTGTTATTTTTTTTTTTTGTTTTTTTTTTCTTTTTTTTTTTGTGAGTTGAGTTTTTACTATGAATTTAGGAGTTGAACTTGGCTTGTTTGGCTAGCAGCAGCATTTATAACACTTGACATTTTCCGCTTTTTATTCTCCTTCTACTGCTTCTTCTATACTCTTAATTTTTTCTTTTCTTTTTCTTTTTCTTTTTTTAATTTATTTTGCACACACTTTTTATTGCACTTTCGTTTCGTGTCGGGTTTGGAAAACAACTCCAACAACTTGTTGCACAGTGTTCTCGCCGTGGCGCTACCGTTTATTGCGGAAAGTATCCTTAACTTAAGTCTGGGAAACGTTTTTGGTTAATTTGTAAACGTTGATCTTATTCAGCTCGATCAGTTCTTTGATAATGTTCTTGTGGTACAGCTCGAGGGAGAGGGTGACACGCTGATTGAGATGCTGATTGAACAGTTGGCGCTGGATGGGCGTACTCCAATTTAGATGTGGATGCAGTGCATCTGCTGGGCCGGACCGTTTCACATGCTCGCTGTGCGTTGTCTTGATGACGTTGTTGTTGTTGTTGCGTTTGTGCCTAAGCATAATCCAATTTTAAGCGTTTGCAGCCTCAGCTTGACAGCGGTTGGCAAATCACAAGGGACAAACAGAAAATTTGACAAACCGAGAATTTGTTGGAGTTGCTCTAACGCGGATGTCACATAAATTTCGATCTGTTTACAGTTTTTCAAATCTCTTCACTTATCGATATGTTGTTATTTGCAATTGATGTTGTTGTTATTGTTGCTGTTGTTGTTGTTATTATTGTTGTTGTTGTTGTTGTTGTTAATTTGCACGGACTGATTGGCGTTTTATTAAGACACAAATATACCACTAGATATACATATATATTTTTATTTAAATATATATATTTATTGCTCACTTTGCTTTCACGCTGCTTTCGCTGCCGGTCGTTTCACTTTTTCTTTTCTTTCTTCCAAGTTTATTTCTTTCTTCTCACACACACATATGCACACAGTGGCACTAGCGCAAAACACGCACACAGAATACACTAACAAAGCGCGAGAGAGCAAAATGGATGCAATCTGCTGTCGCCGCTTCTGATGCTGCACTGTTTACTGTTGCTATTGTAGTTGTTGTAGCTGTTTGTTGTTGTGTTTGATTGTTTTTGTTTTTGTCTTTTTTTTTTGTTATTGTTGGGCATTACCCAATATGTTTGATTGCATTCAATTAAGAAGCATTTACACTGTTTATCATTAGTTATTTTATTTTCGAATTTATTCGTATTGTTTTGATTTGTTCAGTTTTTTTGTTGTTGTTGATATTTTCTATTTTTCGGCGTCTACTTTGACGACGAGGGCGACTCGCAATAAGCGCTTATCGGTCCGTACACGAGAGTTGGCTATCAAAGACTGAGCGAGCGAGTAACGAGTTACAGTTACGCGCAGCGAGCAACATTCAAACACACACACACTCACACACAGAGCTCTCTCTTTCTCTCTGTGTCCCTCTCTGTCGGTTTCTCTGTTGCTGTTGCCATTTGGTTTGTTGTATATTATGCTTTCGTTCGTACCTGCTTGGAAAACTACATAAGTGCAGATGTGTGTGTGTGTGAGTATGAGTATGCGGCTGTGTGTGTGTGTCTGTGTCTGTGAGCGTAGTCTGTTTGAGTGTGTGCAAGTTTTTCCCCTGCTGACAGCATAATACGTAAAACACTTGAGGAACATGCTCTTGAAAGCGTCGAAAATGCATTCGCCACATACAGACACACACACACAAACTTACATAGGCCTCAATTGAGTTAACAGTTGTGGCTATCGAAAAATGTTAGCGTCTATACTAGCTGTTAATTTGTTATTTCAATGTGTCAATGTGCAAGTGCAATAAATCCCCACGCATACATGCACACACACACATAGTTTATAGTTAATATATATTGTAAATATAACATTTAATATTGCCTTTCGCTTCCTTGTTGATCTGTTATTAGCGGCAATTGGTATCAGTAGGCAGTAACGAAGTCTACTTATCAATATGGCCAGCCAGCCAGTGCTACCATCTGTATATGTGTATCTATGACGCCATCGTCGGCTTGCCAGCATAACAGCAAATGTCGACGTCGTCGTTTGTAGCTGCTGCCAACCCCAACCCAAAAAAAACTACGCAGTTAACAAAAAGTTAAACACTTGTCAACATTTTTCACAACGTCAACAGAGCGCCGCATAACTCTGTATTTGTGTTCATATGGGTATGAGTGTAAGTATGTTTGCGAGAGTGTTTGCGCATCTGAGCGAGCGCGATATCAACAACAGACCGAATTTGGATAGAGAGGGAGAGTGAGAGACCAACTGTCAGAGAGCGCGCGCGAAACACTGTCAACACGATAACAGCTGTTGTCGAGAGAGCAGCAACAATGTTGCCAAAACAGCTGTTGAGCAACCAAACCATAACAGATGAGAGTATGCTTTTATCCTTTCTCGACTTAGTCATACTCTAATCAAAAATATAAGAACTACAATCATTGTCAGCTCCCGAGATTTAATGTTGATACACTGTGAGTGTAATTAAACATAATTTATTATTAATCGTACAAACATATAAAAAATCATTTTTAATTTAGTGTATCTATCTTCGAAAACTCAAGTAGACCTGTAAAAATATAACAATTGTAGACACTGATTGAACTGAACTATTTTTGTACGCTACGTTCTGTAAATGTATTTGTATATTAATCAAATTTTAATTAGTGTTGTTGAGTGTAGCTGCCATGTTAATAGTTTTGTTTTTACAGAGTATTGCTTTAATAATCGCCGGCCGGTTTTCTGTCAACGTCACAAGTTTAACAGTTAAAGAGAGAATTTCATTTGTGTGCATGTGTGTGTTTAGGTATGCGAGAGTGTATCTTCCTCTCTTTGCTTCTCAGCAACTCACAGCTGTTATTATGCGTTTGTTTACATCGGCAACAGCTCCATGTTGCTGCTGTTGTTGATGTTGCTAATGTTGTGATTGTTGTTGTTGCTTTGCTGCTGCTGATGTGAATATTGAACGCACATAAACACAGGCACACATTTATGTACGCATATTTGTACATACATATGTACATATGTATGTATATAGATATATGTATATATTTCGAATATTTTGGGGGCTCACTTTTGCTGCCTATGTTTTATGCTGGCTGTATGTTGGCTGTAGCTACAGCTATATTGGCATTGTTGTTGCCTTTGGAATGACCTCTGTAGGCATACCACAGCGACGCCGCCGTTGGCAACGTAGGCGGGGGCGTGGCCGAGGGCCGGGGCCGAGGCTGTCGTTTTCTGGGCGTACGCCGCCTCGATATCCATCAGCGCTACGGGAGCCAACTGAGTTACATACATACACACACACACACACACACACACAAATATGGATGTATGTGTTCATGTACAGGCGCATAGATTTATGTTGTTGTTGCGTTGATATTTTTGGGGTGGATTTGAAAGCAGAAGCATTTGTAAAACGCCATTTGCGATAGATGCCCAAAAATGCGCTGCGTAGTTAGCGCGGTGTGGGTCAAAGGCAGAGGCTGCAAAGTTGCTTAAAGCGTATCGAAAATCTTTACAGTGTAGAGTTATACACTTGTTAAGGTACATTTAAAGTACATTTGTACATGCATATGTATGTATTTGTAATTTCAGATAAATATATTCATATTGGACAACCTGTAACCAGCAATGGCGCCCAACTGAAAAGATGCGCTATCTGACACATTCAATTAATCATTTCTTGAGTGAAAATTCCGCAGTCGCAGCAATGGCAACGGCAACGGCAACGGCAACAAGAGCAACAACAAAATGCTATTCAGCAGAGCGTTGCCAGCGCTGTCGTTGAGCATTACAACAAATACGCAGTTACGAAAGGAAAAAAAATCAGCAACAGTAACGACAACAACAAAAAACAGCAACAACAGTTGCCGCAGAAGCAGCGCAGCAACTGCCGGTGCAATCTGTTTGTTACAAAACCAAACGAAACGAAAAGAAACGCAAAAAGCAAAAGCAAAATCAAAACAAAGCGTTAGACTGAGTAAGACAACATCAAGCGCATATACATACACACACAGACTCGCGCTCTGACATATTACCAAACTGGAAAATAGGTCAACCAGCTGAGAGGGCAAATCAACTGTCAGCTTGCTCGCTCTAATGCTCTCATAGAGTCAAAGAGAGGCATGTATCTGTGTGTGTGTGTGTGTGCTGTGCGAGAGCAACGCTTAACATTGTAAGAGTGCACAGTTGACAATTAGAACGGGAACTGCTGTTAGCTAACAGCGGCCTCAATTCCTCTGATTGGAGTGAGCTGTCGGTGGATGGATACTCGCTGGGTGGTTAACAAAGTTTATATATTTACATATATGTATGTGTATGTGTGTGTAAATTTATGTTATATGCTAAGCTGGTCCTACGAAGCAGTCTCTCAGCTTGGACTAGGTAGCTCTCAACACAACTTTGTCATTTTATTAACTAGTTATAATGTATCCATGTATGTAAACCCCAAATGGGTTTTACTTAATTTTTTTTCTTGGTATTGTTGATATGTCTTCTAATTAGATGTCGTATACTTTCACGATAATCCGAACATTTTGAGCTGTTCCACTAGTTGGAAGTATTCCGCTAACAATATTGAAGGAACATCTTATACGTGGGCAAAATCATGGATATGGCACTCTTCTTCTCGCTCTCAAAGAGCAAGAGAGATAGCAACAAGATGTATCCAGGAAGCCATCTTTCCGCAGCCAAATGATCGCGCTATCCTTGTCTTGCATACTGGTTAATTGCTTGCATTCGTTTGCCCATTAAAATAGCAATGGCGCCTCGATCGAGATAATTGTTTACAGTTATTATTATATTTATATCGAAGTTCCTTTAATGATGCAGCGTTTATTGGCGTTTGATGTAAGAAATTATGATTTATGTATTTTAGTTTAGTGAATGTTTGATTGATATATGTTTATGTATATACTAAACTCAAAAAAGTTTAATTTTAAGAGGTGTACCTATTATTTTCATCATGAGTGTATCTAAGTATTTAACTTATCAATATGTTCTAAGTTAGCAGTTTGAACTAGGTGTAAGGGACTCTCCAAATACCAAGCAGAGCAACGTATATAAAGATATGGCGTTATAAAGTCAGCTGTGCTAACAAATTTACCTTTATAAATCTTTCATGCGGCTTGCAATGAATGTAATTGAGCCTAATTGCTGAGCTGTCCAAGGCGCATGTCAAGTTGTTCATTGCGACCTGCCTATTTGTTTGTGTGCACGTTTGTTTATGTGTGCGTGTGTCTGTGGCATGAAAGTGTGTTCAGATGTCCATCAAAGCTGTCAGTGGTCAAAGCAGGGCGCTGCATTCAGCCGTCAGTTTGGTGGCATTGAATTTGGGATTAAAAACGGTTGCAAGCTGCGTGCTGGCTTATTAGATGTTTACCTGTATGTTGTTGCCATTGTCTGTAGCATTCGGCGTATGCGACGGGGAGGGCCTAGACGATAATCAAGTTAGCAAATGTTGCTGCGACTTGCTGTGATTGATGTGCACATGTCAGCGCCAGGAAGCATAAATTCTAGACAAAGATGAGCGCTAATATATGCTTGTATATGTTTGTGTCTGTGTGTGTGTGTGTACATGGAAGCCAAGTGCAGTTCGTGTCGGATTGCGGCAAGAAAAAGACGTCCAGTTGCCAGTTTCAGATATAAAATTGATGTTATGTGCAGCATTTTGACAACCGGTTGGCCACGCTGCGATTCACCTGTGTGACACAATGCGCAGAGACTTGACATGGCTAACAAACTAATTTCACCGATCACCAAATGGCCGCTCCCTGTGACACACACACGCATACACATACATGAGCATTGTTGACATTTGGTCATATATTTTTCATAGAAAGAAGCAAAATAAAAAAAATAAATAAAAAAATAAAAGCCAAACAAACAATTTCTTTGTTCCGCACAAGACACTTGCGTGTGTATGTGCGTGTGTGTATATATGTATATATATGTATGTCACAGTTTGTGTGCTCACAATGCAACAAACATTTTGAGGATAGCGATCATAAAAATTGACTTTGCGCTGAGCTATCGGACATAATTCCCTGCTTTGGGGGCTGAGCTCTGAGCTGTTCTATGTTAACTATCTAATGCAACATTGCAACAGCAACAGCAACAGCAACAGCCACAGCACCAATAGCAATAATAACAACAACACTGCAACCAAAATGGGTCGTTTTGCAGCCGTATGAAACATGTTGACCCACATTCCATGCGCTCTGCGTAAAAAATTACGTACATATGTGTGCATACGTGTGTGTGTGTGTGCATGTATCTCAGTGAATAGCGTGTGCATGTATATGCCTCCGAACAGCCCTTAAAAAAAAAATAGCAATAAAAGTCTATAATTATTGCAAATATTATTATATTATTATTTTATTTGATATTCTTTAAATTGTAAGTAATTATTAAAAAAAAAAATAGTAATTAATTTCAAACAATTAATGTTATGTTACTATTAATATTTGTTTTATTTTGAAAATTTTAGTTCATCGATCTTTATTATACCCTGAACCCATTGAAAATAGGAAATCAGTTTATAATGGTTTTGTGGCAAAATATGTAACGGACAGAAGGAGTCATCGCAGACCCCATAAGTAATATCAGCCCTGTCCGTCCCTCGGTCCGTCCGTATGAGTGCGTCGATCTCAGAAGTTATAAGAGCCAGAGAGCTAGAGAGAAATTTGGCATGCATACTCGTGTGTACCATCCGCAGTACAACTTTATCATATTTTTTCGATAACTCCGTCCGATAGCTTTTTGACCGAGAATAATCGAACAATTGATTTTGTTTTTTCAGCCTGATTTGAACACTTTTAGACCTAGAGGCTTCAGATTTGACAGATTTTGGATATCCCGCCCCCTTCGCCCCCAATTTGTAAACGCTTTTCAAGTACTAGAGACTTGTGCTTTGATTACGCTCTGAAAGTTTCATTAAGATTGTATGTCTACAAAAAAATTTATTCAACAAATAAATTCTCATAATATTGCCCACACTGCAGCGCMGCCCAAGCGCAGTYGCTGCTWACTGCGCAGTYRGCAGAGCGYGTGCTTATAAGTGCATGTGTATGTATGTGTGCATAAAAGAAGTCCAGAATGATAAGAATATCAGCTTGGAGGGTTCAGGGTATCTCCTAGTCGAGCAGTCTCGACTGGAGCCTTCTTACGTGTTTTAAGTATTGTAATTATTACAAATAATATATTATTGTTATTTAATTTTGACTTTTAAATTTTATTTTTAAATTTTAATTTTTTTTAGAAATTTTATTATACCGGCAACAATTTTATATACAATTTTGATTAAAATTACTTCGGTTCGACAGAATGATAAAAAACACATAACGGGAAAAGGGTTTCAATACATTTTTGAACAAGTAAGAAAGCTGTAGTCGAGACTGCTCGACTACGAGATCTCCTGCACCCTTCGAGCAAGAGCTATTTCAATCATTTTTCGCGTCTCTCTGCTTACACAAGACACACGCACACACACAAAAACACCCATACACACAAAAACACACACACATATACGATCTTCATAAAACTTACAGATTATGATTATAACACGGATATGCATGTATTTGCCAAAGTACAAGTCTCTATTATTTGAAATACGACTTTTACAAATCTGTGGGTGAGGGGGTGAATTAGGGGTGAGGGGTAAATTATTTTCTTACATTAATTATTTGACTTGAATTATTATTAAAAATATTTTTTATATTTTTTCAAGTCAGTAGCATTAACCGATAGATTATAATAGAGAATCTGCAATTATTTTCGAGTCAAATTCATCTTCCCAATCTTATTGTTCAGCTTTTTTGTGCCATTTGAATTCCATTTCTATATAATCTCAACTCAATGGGCTGCCCCAGCATCAAGGACAAATTCGTTGTGCCAAGGGCAGGCGCGCTTTACTTGACCCACTTATTGAGCTCTTCGCACATATCTGTGGTACATGTCAGGGCTGCTGCCCGAAACTGGGGCAACAGTCTTTTGTATTGCCCCTCAACCCAGGAGAGTGGGCATTTGAATAAGCTCTGGCAGCTTTTGCTGTTCACTGCTTTCTGCGCGTGCTTGAAAGCTCATCGTCCGGCATTAGGGTGGCTCAACGCAGCATGTAACTGAATGCTAGTCGAGCCCAAAAGTATGCTACGCTCGTGCCTATGAGCTGCAATTTTATGAATTTTATTAATAAAACTTGAATTTTATTGTATTTTATTTTATTTTTATTTTTTAAGAATTCATTTATTGCGGCTTTTGTCTTAGACTCTATAGCGCAGTCATCGTTAAACCTTAACCTAAGTTATGGGCTAGATTTACACTATTTACACAATTTACAATTATTTACAATGTTCATGGAGCTCTGTGGTCTAATGGGTGAAGCCTTTTAAGCCGTCTCCTGTTGTTGTTCACTACCAGGTCAGTAGCCAGTGGATTTGGGTGCGCCAAGACCCTGTCCGCGTACCTCGAGGAGTGACGCCCGTAGCGCCTTGTTTTGCAGGGCTTGCACTTTTGTGTCCTCGCTGCAGACCCCAAATGGGGATAGCGAATGTAAGCATTGGGACCACGATGGCATTATAAATTTTTATTTTGCTCCATAGAGACAGCTTGCTGGAGGGTCTCAACATCAAATCCAGTTTTTATACTCTGAACCCATTGAAAATGGGAGATCAGGGTATAAAGGTTTTGTTAAAAGTATGTAACAGGCAGAAGGAAGCATCGCAGACCCCATAAAGTATATATATTCTTGATCAGGACGACGAGCTGAGTCGATATAGCCCTGTCCGTCTGTCCGTCCGTATGAGCAAAAGGATCTCAGAAGATATAAGAGCTAGAGAGCTGAAATTGGGCATGCATACTCGTGTATACCATAGGCAGTACAAGTTT